TGAAGTCGGATGCTTAACCGACTGCACCACCCAGGCGCCCCCCTCATGGACAGTTTTTAAAGAAAACTCTGACCTCTTCCAACCCCTCCGCTAACATTGTTTCTGCTGCCTTTTTGTTGACCTTAGTGTCTTGCAAGTTTCTATAAGAGGTTTTTTACATATTTTCAAAACATTTTGCCTTCTTAGAGATCATATTCAGAGAGAAAGACCGATGCTTGGTGGATAAACAGTGTCCTGACTTTGTGGCACTCTTGGCCCAGACCATCTGAGTGACACCTTGCAGTTACTTTGCTTGGACATAAATGCACATAGCAAATGCTTGGAGACAGTGAGCAGGATTGAATCAAATTTACCTTCTCAACTCAGCCTCATTGTACTCACCTCATTTCAGATACTCTTTAAAGGGAAAAGTCTGGGCTATGCTGGTGTTTATGAAACTGAGGAATTGAAAAGCTATCTTTGGCAGATGACAAGGGTCTGTTGTATTTGTCATAATAGAGATCAAGAGTAGGGCTGGTGACAGTGCTTGACTCATAAAGGTCAATCAAAGCCTTTTTGCCTCTGTATAAAGCAGTCTCAGTGGCATTTTTAGTTGTTAGTGCCATCCAATTCCATTTCTTCCACTTCTCCCTACATGTCAGAAAGCCCACTGAGCTTCTTTAAACGAGTTTCTTCTTATTTGATATAGGCAAACCAGAGCCACTGGTGTTCCACATTCCTCAGTCCTTTTTTGATGCTCTGCAACAAAGAATATCTATAGGAAGTGCAAAGAAACGGCTTCCCAACTCCACCACAGGTATGGGATTTTTTTTCCTCAGGAACAACAATAGATATCTTGACCTTAGAGAATTATGCTTAGAGAAACCGTGTGGTATTTTCAGGATTAGGACTTCTAGTCACATGCTCAAAACATGAAGCCTTAGCCAGTCAGCTCTTGGAATAATGATCACTCCCCTCAAAGGTACCATACTTATTCCAGTAAGAGTTAATGGAAAAATTCAGAAAGCACAAACTTGGTAAAAGGACAGTGAAGTGTAATGAGGGTGCCCACTAAGAAGTTTGACATTTTCTAGATATGAACCAATTTCAGCAAAAGCATTGTAAGTTCCAGTTGTTATTTGCACTGGCTTCTTGGAAGCATATTACAATCTGTACCAAAAACAAAAACTTGTTTTTCATGGTTCCCAATTTTGATGAAGGAAGATTTTATTTTTAGAGTAATTCTTAGGCTTGGAACCCTTTATAATTACATTATTCTGGTGCTTATTTCTTGGTTTTCTATTACATCTTCTACTAGAAATTTCATGATACTTATTAGGTACTGTAAGGAAACGAGGGAGAGAGGAGGAAGAATAGATAGCTCAGTGGTAAATAGCCCAAGAGTAACTATAGCTGGACATCAATGCTATTTCTTTAGTTAGTAGTTATTTGATGATTATAATAGGGACTGAGGTTTAATTCTATCTTTGAGGTTGAATTCTATCTGTGAATCACTGTTTAGGGCTATAAAAATCTTTGTCTTCACAGCTTATCTATCTGAGGCAGTGTTGATTCTTTCTTTCACCTTAAACTTTAGGCCTCCTAATACATTACTTTTAACCCATCCTTTAGCTATTTTTGCAGGCCTTTTGGTGAAACCCCTTTATAATCCTTCAGGCAAGGCAACAGGTTGGCAACCATGTTAACTGGCCTAAACTCCATGTAATTCTTTTCAGAACTATAATTTGACCTCTGGTATATCTAAAGTTGTGAGAGGTTGTAAGGTGCTGTTTTTAATTTTTTTTTTTTTCAACGTTTATTTTATTTTTGGGACAGAGAGAGACAGAGCATGAACGGGGGAGGGGCAGAGAGAGAGGGAGACACAGAATCAGAAACAGGCTCCAGGCTCTGAGCCATCAGCCCAGAGCCTGACGCGGGGCTCGAACTCACGGACCGCGAGATCGTGACCTGGCTGAAGTCGGACGCTTAACCGACTGCGCCACCCAGGCGCCCCTGTAAGGTGCTGTTTTATAATGGAGTCCTGTGCGTGTAGCTATACCAAACAAAGAAATCAGTTGCTAAGGTAGCAAAAATAAGTAGCATCTCAAAGAAGCATCAGAGACATCTGTTAGCAGAAATCCATATCATTTGATTTACCACATTTCTGCCAAACCTATTACAGATTTGCCTCTAGAATTTCTTTTTTAAAAGTGCTGAGATTCTATAAGGAAAGGATAGCACTGCACTGAACTTTCTAAAAACTGGATAACAAATACAATGAAAGAGAATGTTATTTTTTTGGTAGTCTAATCTTGTTCCCTTCTTACATTGAAGCTTTTGTTCGGAAAGACGCCTTGCCACTGGGAACCTTTTCCAAGTATACCTGGCATATCACTAATATCCTGCAAGTTAAACAAATCTTAGATACCCCAGAGGTAAGAGTGTATTTCTACAATAGTAGGAGGGCAAAGAGGGGAAGAAAGAGAAGCAAGTGCAGGAAGTATGTTTGCACCAATTCCTTGAGTTATAGACACTGAAGAGAATTCCTTTTTTTCATACTAAAAGATTATTCAGAAATATTCATGGCTGCATAGTTCTGACTGTGATTTTAATGGGTATTCCCTGTGGTTTGAAAAAGTATCTTAAATTGGAATATCCTTTTTCTTTGCCTTTAGGATCAGAAAACAGAGATCATTTTTCTTGTGAATTAGATAATGAACCCCTACTAGCTATGGTGAGCCCTACATTAACCGGCAGGGAGCTAGAAATTATATAAATAATTTGAGATAATATACTATTGGTGAGCTCAATGAACTCAGCACAATTAAATGCTTCTCCACAAACTGCAATTTAGTTCTCATTAGAAAAATGACCCTTAATTATTTGGCATTCTTTTTTGCAAGAGGAATATTAGACATTTTTAAACATTTTCTTTTTCAAGCAGATCCTGAAAATTTGAGGCTTTTCCCTTCCTACAGTAATGGAATATTGTAGAAAATTCAGCATAGTGTGGTTTGATACATTAAGATTAGCTTAATTGCAAGGCATTGTTACTTTCGGAAAAAGAATAAGTTGTTTGGTAGTTATAAAACTTACATGTGAACCCTAGAAAAGCCCTGTGTTAGCACTAAAGGCACTTGAGGAACCTCTTTAATTGTTGGATGTTACAGAGATAGCTTCTCGCCTGGAGCAAGTGTTCAGGGAGGCACTATCACTGTCAAGTGAAGGAAGAGAACTAATTGATAATCTTGGAGTGTCGGTCTGTTTGGGCATTACTTACCTGCATCGCCTCATTCAAACTCACAACCATGTGTTGGTATTAACTGAATTTTGCCGATGAGAAAGGCTATATGCCCTGCTGTTTAGTGGCAAAGACCAATTCAAGTTCTGTCTGGCTTAGTCCCAAGGATGGTGTGAAGCATACAAGGTGTTAGGCCAGCTGTAGATGCTGTCAGTAGAGCTTTTAGGAGAAGAATCATGCTAGCAGAGCAGGAGGGAAGGGAACAAAACTGATTTGAGAGCAAGTCTATGCCAGCAGCCATTGCATAGCCATGAAGATGTTAGAGGTTCAGTTCATAGATAGTTTGGCTGGGGTTCAAATTAAAGTTATAGAGAAAAAAAGGAAAGTCATGAATGATGTAAAGGAGAAAAGGCAGATTTCTTGATAGCATTTACTTGAAAATACAAGAGGAGGTTTCCATTAATTTGAGTGTAACAAAAAAGAATAAGTGAAAGATCTGTTGTCATCCAAATGTTTGTCTACTTTGAAAGTTTTTCCTTTCTCACCTTTCTTGGTATTGACTTCATGTCCAGATGCCCTTGGAAATCACTCGGAGTTTTATCCAGAACCGGGATGGGACTTATGAGCTGTTTAAATGCCCTAAAGTGGAAGTAGAGAGCATAGCAGAAACCTATGGTCGTATAGAAAAGCAACCTGTGCTGCGACCTTTGGAACTAAAAACTTTTCTCAAAGTTGGTAAGTGAAATTGTGCTTTCAATAGCGCATTTTCCTTTGAAGGTTAGCTGTGTGCATTGAACTGTCCTAGACATTGGATCTTGACCTTAAACAAAGAAGACACATGCATTCATCTTGTAAAGGCCATCATGGAATAAAGTGTTTTGTTTCTTTTGAAACAATGCTTTTAAAATAAAATTATAAGGGGCACCTGGCTGACTCAGTCAGTGGAGCACATGACTCTTGATCTTGGGGTTGTAAATTTGAGCTCCATGTTGGGTATAGAGATTACTTAAAAATAAAATCTCTAGGGGCGCCTGGGTGGCGCAGTCGGTTAAGCGTCCGACTTCAGCCAGGTCACGATCTCGCGGTCCGTGAGTTCGAGCCCCGCGTCAGGCTCTGGGCTGATGGCTCGGAGCCTGGAGCCTGTTTCCGATTCTGTGTCTCCCTCTCTCTCTGCCCCTCCCCCGTTCATGCTCTGTCTCTCTCTGTCCCAAAAATAAATAAAAACATTGAAAAAAAAAATTAAAAAAAAAATAAAATCTCTAAAAATAAATAGAATAGAAGTAATAAATACATATTCATTATAGAGAAATCATAGATTTCATTATAGACCATAAAGGAGAAAAGTGAACCACCTATAAGCTCATGCACCATAGAAGACATCACCATTAAGATTTTAGGGGTGCCTGGTGGCTCAGTCAGTTAACCTTCTGACTTCGGCTCAGGTCATGATCTCGCAATTTGTGAGTTTGAGCCCTGCAACAGGCTCTGTGCTGACAGCTCAGAGCCTGGAGCCTACTTCAGATTTTGTTTCTCCCTCTCTGTCTGCCCCTCCCCCTGCTCACACTGTGTGTGTGTGTGTGTGTGTGTGTGTGTGTGTGTGTGTGTGTATGTCTCAAAAATAAACATTAAAAAAAAAAAGAATTTGGCATATCTCCTTTTAGACTCTGTTCTACACATGAAAAGAGTTTACAAAACATGGGCTCATACCTCAGATACTTTTTTAACTTAAAAATATTATCATGACAGCTTTCCATATCTACCTTAAACATTATTTTTTAAAATTTTTTTAAAGTTTATTCATTTTTGAGAGAAAGAGAGAGAGAAAGACAGAGAGCATGAGTGGGGGAGGGGCAGAGAAAGAGGGAGACACAGAATCTGAAGCAGGGTCCAGCACAGAGCCCAACGTGGGGCTCGTACTCACGAACTGTGAGATCATGACCTGAGCCAAAGGTGGACGCTTTAACCGACTGAGCCACGCAGGTGCCTCTTAAACAATATTTTTTTAACTTTTTAAAATTTTATAAAACATACAGAATATAAAAATTATCATTTTAGGGGTGCCTGGGTGATTCAGTTGGCTAAGTGTCCGACTCTTCGGCTCAGGTCGTGATCTCATAGTTCATGGGTTCGAGTCCCACATCAGGCTCTGCATTAACAGTGCCAAGTCTGCTTGGGATCTTCTCTCTCTTCTCTCTCTCTACCCCTCCCCTGCTCACTCTCTGTCTCTCAAAATAAATAAATAAACTTAAAAAAATTTTTTAAATAAAATAGTTTACCATTTTAACCATTTTTAAGTGTATAGTTCTCAGGCATGAAGCACATTTACATTGTTGTGCAACTATTACCATCATCCATCTCCAGAACTTTTTTGTCGCCCTCCACTGAAACTGTACCATTAATTAGTAACTCCCCACTCTCACCTCACCCCTGGTCCCTGGCAACAACCATTCTATTTTCTGTCTCTATTAATTTGACTACTTTAGGCAGCTTATGTAAGTACAATCATACAGTATTTTTCCTTTCTCTGACTTATTTTACTTACTATAATGTCTACAAGGTTCATCCATGTTGTAGCAAGTGTCAAAATTTCTTTGCCCTTTTTTTTCTTTTTTTCTTTTTTTTTTTTTTAAAGTAAGCAGTGTGCCCAACATGGGATCTCAGGACCCCAAGATCAAGATTCACATGCTCTGGGGCTCCTGGATGGCTCAGTTAAGCGTCTGACTTCAGCTCAGGTCATGATCTCACAGTTTGTGGGTTTGAGCTCTGTTGTCGGCCTCTGTGCTGACAGTTTGGAGCGTGGAGCCTGCTTCAGATTCTCCATGTCTCTCTTTCTCTCTGTCCCTCCCCCACTCACGCTCTGTCTCTCTCTCTCCCCTTCAAAAATAAACATTAAAAAAATAAATACATACATACATACATACATACATAAATAAATAAATAAAAAGATTCACATGCTCTATCAACTGAACTAGCCAGATGCCCCATAGTTCTGAAAGGTATATTGTATTCTTTTAAATTCTGCTAGTTTTTTTTTTTTTTTTAGTAAAATGTTTATTTATTTTGAGAGAGAAAAGAGTGCATGAATGCAAGTGGGGGAAAGGTCAGAGAGAGAGATCTCATGAACCGTGAGCCGTGAGATCATGACCTGAGCCAAAATCAAGAGTTGGACCCTGCTAGTGTTTTATATTTTTTTGAAAGCATTCTGTAACCTGAGTTTTTCATGTTTAAATCTTTGATCCTCTGGAATTTATTTTGATGTAAGGTATGAGGTATGATTCTGCCACCTTTTATTTTCTTCCAGATAGCTATCTAATTGATGCACACTATTATAAGAAACACTTGTATTTTACTAACTGAAATTACTAATCACTAATTTTACTAATTGAAAATGCAACCTTTATATTATGCTAAATTCCTGTTCTATTTGTGTCCACTTTGGATCTTTCTGTTTTGTTCATTTAATCTGTCTAGACATATGCCAGTACCACACTCCTTTGGTTATTATGGGTTTGTAGTATGTTTTAGAACCATGTAATTTTAATTGTTTCTGGTTTCCTTGAAACTTGACCTTTTCTTGCTAGTCTCCCTTTTAATCTCATCCAGCTATCTTTTCTCCTTAATCTGGGCTCTCCTTAGTATTCTTTTGGCTCTATTTCCATGGAGGCTGGGTCTTATTTCATTTGAGGGTGCCAGACAGTTCCCTGAAATTTTTATTTGGATAGATACACCAGTAATCACTTTTCCCTTCCCTTGATTCTTCTCCACTGTTTCTCTCTCCTATTTTGTTGTTGTTGTTTTAATTTTTTTTTCTTTTTTTTTTATTACTGAACAGAGTTACATCTGTCCAGCCTCAAATTTTGGAATGGTACTAATCAATGTTCTTTTTTTTTTTTGGTCTTCAGGCAACACTTCCCCAGATCAAAAGGAGCCAACACCGTTCATCATTGAGTGGATTCCAGATATCCTTCCTCAGTCCAAGATTGGTGAGCTTCGGATCAAGTTTGAGTATGGTCACCACCGGAACGGGCATGTGGCGGAATACCAAGACCAGCGGCCACCGCTGGACCAGCCCTTGGAACTGGCGCCTCTGACCACCATCACTTTCCCTTGACAAGGGAAAAAACAAGAGTCTTTTGCTGCTAAATTTGCACATTCCCAACCCTTGACAATTTAAATACTAGTTAGGCACTTAGATGGCCCTGTCGCCTAGTGAACTGCTCTTAGCCAAGATGCAATTTCTTATCGCATTCAAGTGGATTCTGTTGAAGAAAAACTCTTCTTGTAAATGGCCTTTTTGGTGCTGCTGTGTATGGTCTTTGTTATAAATTGGGTGATATTTCTGGCTAGAATTTTTAAAGGAACAAAAAGGAAACCAGCTCTCTTTCCTTCTTAAAGAACTCACCTTTAGAGTTTGTTTCAAACTTTTTCTAATTCTCTAAGATGTTCGCAGCACTTCTTACACCAATAGTGTTGGAAAGTTAATAATACCCTGTTTAGGGCAGAATGTTAAGGACCATCCTGACAGAGTTCCAGTCATGCCCATTTATTTTGTTCTCAAATAAAAGCACAATGTCACTAGTTTTTCCAAAGTATATCTCATGTTGGCCTGATTATAAAATTATAAGCCTTTGGGGAGATTTAAGTAATAGTGAAATAGGAAAAAGAAGTCCAGGTATCAAGGGATTATTGACATTTCAAACTAATGCTTCTAATTACTTGTTCCCTAGATATTTATTTCCTTCTTTATTCAACAACAAGTTTAAGAGCTGGTAGGTTCAATTCCTGTTTTTGAGCTCATTGATCACAGAATGGTGATACTGAAGGACACAGAAGTGGAAGCCTGTCTTCAGGGAGAAAAGAAGGGAGTGACCATTTCCTATATGCCTCCTGTGTGCCAGACACTTTCATTTATAATCCCATTTTTCTCATTTAGTCCTTACTGTTTGAGTTTAGATATCACCTCTTCTTTTAAGTTAAAGAGACAGCCTGTTTTTCTTGCTGGAAACGGCATTAAAAATGTTTCATTTTAGTGCAAAGGGCATGTTCTTTCTACTTTATTATGTTACTTTGATATAAATTCCTTGTAAACCATTGTCCTTGGGAACATAAGAAAAATCCCACATAAAGGAGACTCCTGGTTTTCTTTTGACTGCAGGTAACAAAAACCCAACTCTAACCAGCTCAGGCAAAAATGGGAATGAATGGTTCATGGACTTTAACATAGGGCTGGACAGCCATCCTGGGTGGCACTAGGGTGTAACTAGGCCTCAGGAACCCTGGAGCCAAGGTCCATCTGACCCATCACTGTCTCTCCTGGGGCTTCACTCACTCTTAGCACAGAGCAGCACCCTCTAGCCAGAATTCCGACTTTTCAGGCACCTGAAAGTAAGACTTACACTTTTACACTGGAGCGGGATTGGCTGCTCTACTCTCTCTCTCCTCCGAAGGGCAAAGACCCACAAGAAAGACTCTGATTGGCATTTTTGGTAAAAGGGGAGCTGTGTCCCTACAAGGGGGAAAGGGTAGGCAAATTAAGTGTTGTCTATCCTGTGTGATTGAGGGAATAGCTTGTGTGGAGAGCTCACAAATGCTTTCGACAGTGGGGGAATTCCTTGGGGAGACTCCAGAAGGTTTCACAGAGAACTTAGAACTTGTACTGGGCTTTAAAGGAGAAAGCGTTTGTATAGATATGGAGAAGAGAAATTAGGTAAAGCAGAGCCTGCTGAAAAGGAAGACCACCCAAGGAAACACAGTGGTTGGTCCATTCAGGAAATCCTGCAACCTGACTACTTTAAGGACATTGGCTACAGCTTTTTGACCAAGACAGACCTGTGAGTAACAGGCAAATGCCTGGATCTAGTAGTACTTGACTATAGCCACGGATGAGAATACCCACAAAGGCCATAAAACACTTGGCTGGGACAAATGATCCACCCAAAGAGGAACAGTACTGAAGTGTTAAGGTCTTTACCCTGGACCACCCCAACCCACCTTCACAGTCCATCAAAATCTGGAATGGGGTTCAGAGTTACATTGACCAATAATTCTAATTTGGCACTCTCTCTAACAGGTCAAGCATGGGACTACAAGTACCAGTAAGAGTACTGTACCCACTCTCAACATCCAGACCTCTGGGACACCACTAGCATTGACCTCATTTCAGACTCAGCCCACACTACCACCCCAGGGTGATCCCAGATACTCCCAGCAGAAAAAGGCTCTTCAAACTCTGCACACATCTGCCTCCCCACCTCTCCATGCTCCCACCTGCTATCCATTGCATACCTCCATTAGTCATAGGAATCCCCCATCTCTGGGAGAAAAGCTAATGCCTTTCAACATTGCAGCCACCATTTGTATTCCGGAGTGAACAGCTCAAAAACCTCCATGTCCACGTAGTCACCTGTTTAGTGCACGGACTGACAATCCTTAGACAATATTAATAGGTATGAGAGGGATGCCACCTTAACTCCTCCAGACAAAATGGCTGGGCCCCTAATGTGGGCATAATGAGAACAACTTGCTGCCACTCCACCCAGATCACTTTGGTTCTAACCTATCATGTCCCTGCTTCTACCAGAACTACTGTCATCTCAACAGCTCGCTGGCTTAGAAGAACGATAAGCCACTCAGAGACCTCCTGAAAATCTGACTCTAAGAACCACCGACATAAGTGAGGGTCTGTAGGCCCGCCACCTAGTTCTTTCATGGTACCAGACGTCATCGGTCCCAGTCACATAAGTTCACCCTTTCACTGATTCCTATTATGTCCTTTCTGCCAGTAACCCACCCTTCCTTCCAACCCATGTGTACATGCATATATATGCACACACATCATAACACTCTGGCCTCCTACTCATCTAGCTCTGGCCACCTACAGAATGCAGCCTGTGTACATCATCTAAGAGGCACTATTCTTTCAGTATCTGGTTCTCCCAGGTCAGAGCCCAAAACCTGCTATTAGAATAACCAAGGGAAATCGCACTGTATCTGCTAAAGGTGAGAGAATGGGCAGGGGCTGCCCTCCTCCAGCCCTTTGAATGACCTGAACCCTCTCAAGTACTCATCACATACAACACAGAAAAGTTAGCCACAGAGAAAAATCCCTGGGTTTTTTTTTTTTTTTTTTTTTTTTTTTTTTTTGGTGAATTTTCCCAAGATGAACCTTCTCACCCCCTTGGCTTATTTCTCTTTTGTCTCCCAGATTCTGGCTTCCTAGTTTTCTTCCTATTTTGTGATTTCTGATACTCCTTATTGAATGCTTTTTTTTAAGTTTTTTTTTTTTTTTTTAAAGTAATCTCTATACCCAACTTGGTGTTCGAACTTACAACCCTGAGATCAAGAGTCATCTGTTCCACTGACTAAGCAAGCCAGGCACCCCTGGATGCTTTTTTAAAAACTGCCTTACAGACCTTGCTCCTTGTCTGCATGCCTTCCCACCATCCAGCTCTGCAAGCTCCCTTCACATCTTTGTACCATCACACCTGCCTCGCCAAGGGACTAGGATACCGCGTTTTACCATAGTGCTCTATGCATAGGCATCACCCAGGGATCTAGTTACAATCTAGCATATTCTGATTCAGAGGTTCTAGGGTAGGGTCCAAGATTCTGCATTTATGTCCTCAAACTGATGCAGCATGTACTGGACTGCACAAATGCAGCTGGACTCCAGACTGCACTCTCCATAGCAAGACCTAATGCCTGACTTGGTACTGTGACTCCCACCTCTCACTGCCACTAATGGGAGGGCAGGGCTGGAGGTCGGTGACACAAAGCAATCAGCAGCAGCTGCTAGAGCAATAGCTAGCATGCACCTAAGCGTTTCAAGGCAGTGTGTTAGGTTGAGATGCTTTACGGTATGCTCCCACGAAGTTGCTCCAACCCTTGGAGGCACTGGCCTTCCTCCTACCAACTGGTTCCAACTCCACAATTTCAGAAGTAAAAAGTGTTATCTGTAACCACCACGACATTCCCTGCGGTTTTCCTCCCTTCTCTCCAGCACTTTTTCAACTGTCCTCTTCACACCACCTTAAGGTTCAGATTTTAAACCCTGGGTTCAAACCCTGACTCTGCCACCAGCTTATTAACTATGCAACCTTGGGCAAGTTATTCAACCCTATGGTCCGGTGACCTCACCTGGATGATGTGTGTACTAAATTAGGTACTGTGTGTGAAATCCTCATTAAATACCATCTATTACCCTTTTGCCTATTGTTTGCTCTCCCTTCCTTTTCCGTCGTGTTTTTCTAACTTGGCCTTGAGACTGGAATGTTTTGTTTACTGTTAACAGAAAAGCTACAAATCAGTATGAAAGGGTGTGTGTAGTGCTGGCATTCATTTTCTTCGTTATCTTTTTCCCTTTTTTTTTTTTCAAAATTTCTCCGATGAACAATATTACTTCGGTAAGTTCCAAAAAGGAAAAGTCCTACCCTTAAAACAAAGGACATAAAGGTTACTCCACAGAAAGGTGGAAAAGAAAAAGACGCCTTGGCGCCGCGGGCGGGGGCCGGTCACGTGGCGGCCGCCCCCTTTCCCCCCTCCTCAGCGAGGTGACGTAAGTCACGTACCCCTCCCGCCCGCGCCGCTCCTTCCGGCCGGTTGGGCAGCTCTTTCTTCCACCAGGCGGCGCCGCAGGACGTTCTGTTGCCGACGCCTTCTGCGCAGCCTCACTGGAGCCCGGGACACGTCACCACTTTCGCGTCTTTTCTGGAGAGCGCGGGAAGGCGAGTGCAGGAGGGTGGTGACGACATTGGGGTTCCCCGCGTGGCTCGCGGGGGCGGGGCCGGGGACGTGGCGCGCCAGGAGAGGGGAGGGCGGGTGGCGCCGCGCGCAGGCTGACTGGGCCACGCCCACCTCGTGACCCACTGTGTGGCCGAACTGCTGGAAAGGTGCTGACGAGGCGGGTTGGATGGGGAGGGGCACTCGTCCCTACGCGAGGCCCTTTCGAGGTCGTTATTTCGCCCAGGTCGCCCTCAGACGTGCCCCGGGCGCCTCTGGGTCCAACTTTAAGCCGAGCACCGACTTCCTGGCACCCTCCTGGGGGCGGGTCCAAGCCCGCGCAGCGGCCGGCGCGCCCTCAGGGCAGCGGAGTGGACTCGGGGCACGTGGGCC